CTTGAACTCACAATTCTCCTGCCTCAGCTTCCTGAGTGCTGGGATTACAGGTGTGCGCCACCATGCCTAGTATGGATGGGAAATTCTTCTCATGCTTTAAATATCACTGGCGATTAGTTTGGGTCCATCCATGTACTTTTGGGTAATGTCATCTCTAAGCCTTTCACCTTAATGACATCTGCAAACTTCCTTTTGCCATGTTATGGTGACATGTTTTGCGGTTCCAGAGAATTGGGGCCTGATTATTTGGGGGAGCAGGGCATTAATTTACCCCAGTGAAGGACATTAAGAGAAGAAAGCCACATTTTTAAATAGGAAGATTCCCCTCTGTAAAGATCTCATTTCTGCCTAAATCAGCCTACCAATTCAGTGCTAGGTGTGTTAATCATAACAGAAGTTGGATTTTTCTTTCAGCTAAGTAGATAGATGCTCAGAGATTACGTTGTTTACAGAAATATTCTAACATCCTTTGCAAAATTTGTTGTTTTTTTTTTTTGTTGTTGTTGTTGTTTTTCCGGTACTGGGAACTGAACTCATGACTTTGCGCTTGCCAGGCAGATGCTATGCTGCTGAGCTAAATCCCCAGCCCCTCCTTTGCAAAATTTAACTCAGGTAGACTTCATATATTCTAGAAATGTGTAACAAACCTGCATTCTGCACAAAGGCAAACTAAAATCCCCTTGTTTCCAATGTCCCATTAATATCCTATACTTTTCTGGTCATTAATTTTAGGTACACATTTGACTCATACTATGAACTAAGCCAGGCATGGTGGCACACACCTCATCCCACCACTTGTGAGGCTGAGGCAAAGGACTGCTGCCAGTTCGAGGCCAGTCTGGGGTGTATAGTGAGACCCTGTCTCAAAAAAACCAAAATAATAAACTCTCTAGAAAGACTTTTTTTTTGTGGTACCAGGAATCGAACTCATGACCTCGTGCTTGCCAGATAGGTGCTGTGCCACTGAGTTATATCCCCGGCTCTAGAGAGACTTCTGTCATCCTTTTCTTATTCATAACCAAGACCGCAAAATGTCTGTCACTCTGATGAAATACCTAAGAAAACCAACTTAAAGAAGATTTATTTCATTTTACAGTTTCAGTCCGTTGTCAGCTGGCAGCCGAGTGTGGTGGCGCACTCACTCCTATAATCCCAGCTCTTGGGAGGCTGAGGGAAGAGGATCACAAGTTTGTGGCCAGCCTGGGCTACATAACGAATCTAAGGCAGGTGTCCCCTACAAAGTGAGACCCTGTCTCAAAAAACCAAAGGAAAAAGAAAGAAACGAGCCCATTGTCAATCGGCTACACACTGCTTTTACCCGTGTGGAATGGCAGAGAAACATGGTAGAAGGGTATGGCAGAGGAATGCTGCTCAGCTCTTGGCAGCCAGAAAGCAGAGAAAAGCTGGGGTACACAGTCCAGTTGGGGAAGGTCCCGTCTTCATGACTCACTCCCTTCCACTAACCCTAAATGTCCATCACGCCCAATAATGGCATCAAATTGTGATGGATTATAATATAATATAATCAATAGATTAATTCCACCGATCTAGAGCCATCATGATCGAGGCACCTTCCAAAAGCCCCCCCTCAAGGCCGGGGGTGGTGGTGAACGCCTGTAATCCCAGCACCCTGGAGGCTGAGGCAGGAGGATCATTGCGAGATCGAGACCAGCCCGGGCTACAAAGTGAGCTCAAGGCAGCCTGAACTGCATAGTGAGACCCTGTCTCAAAAAGACAAAAACAAAGAAACAAAAACCAAAGCCCCACCTCTGACCCTTTGGGGGTACATTCTGTAGCCAAACCATAGCACATAGTTTCATCTTTCCCTAACGGACTATTTTTCGAGTGCTAACGGCGAAACTCATGTAATTTTCCTCTTCACACACAGCTTCATGAGAACTTCCAGCGAAAAGTCCTGATGAATGGACACTGTATTTTGGGTTGAGACGGGATTTACAAAAGAATCGTTTCACCAGGGTAGGGTGGCACAAAGAATATCCTCAAGTTCAAGGCCAGCCGGAGGATCTTAATAAGCCCCACTCACCTCAAAATTTAAAGAAAAATAAATGTTGGAGATGTAGCTCAGTGCTCCCTGGGTTCTATCCCCAGCGCCGGGCAAAGTGGTGGGGGAAAGCTGAGAAAAGGAAACCTCTTCACTTAAGAACTATTTTCATCATGATGCATTCTCAAGGGATGTGGATGACCCTGTAGAGTGCACAAAGGTAAAACTGATCGAACGTCTGTTACAAGGTTCTGTTCTCTCCGTTTCTGTGTATGTTTAAGGGTGTGAGGTGGAGCTAAACAAGAGATGAGTGTTTTTAGCTCTTTAAAAGTAAGTGCCTTTTGTAAAAATGCACTTGCAACTGCGTATGAAATGACTAACACTCTTTAGTTAGTTCATTCAGTAAAAAGTTAATCCACAATTTATTTTTTTTAATCCACAATTTTTAACACATTACTGTTTGGAATGTACTCTATTTGTAAATCCCTGGAAACAGTAATCTCTGTTCCTACGCCAAGTGTACTGTCCTAAGACACTGCAGGCATCATTCTTACCCTTTAAAGGCCAACGGGGTTGTCTTTGCATTTTGTGTCTCTTAATTACCCTCACTGGCCAAAACACGGAAGTGAAAAGTCTACATTATCTGGGACCCTCTACAATATCTTGGTACAGGGCTGCGGTCCGCTCTCGATCTCCCCACTAATTCCGAGCCTGGCGGATTCTATCCACGGGACACTGGCCAGAAGGAAGTGCCCCAAAAGGGTCCATCAAGGCACAGCCCGCGCACTCCAGCCGCCAGATGCAAAGCCTGGCGCCTGGCCGCCACCGAGGATTTCTCCGAAAGAGCCGACCCCACCAGCTCCCTCAGAAAAGAAAACAAAGCAGCCACGAGAACCCGGATGTAACCGCACCGTCACCAGCGAGATTGCGCATGCGCATCTGAGGGGGTGTGCCCCCGAGGTGGGCGGGGCCTGTAGAGAGCAGGGCGTTGATTGGACAGGAGAAGAGACACGCCCGCTACACCTAGTTTCTGCGCATGCCCCAAACGTCAACTTCTAGTATTTTCTGGACTACTCCGAGGACTGCCCGCGCAGTTCGCGTCCGGACGTCAAAGGGGGAGGACGTCACTGTTCTGTTATCGAACGCTTATCCAAGGCGTCTGTGCGTCCTCAGCTTCGAGAGTTAAGCACCTGGTGGGCCTTTCTCTTCATCCTGAGGGAGGCGTCGGCGGCCTGCGGTGAGTGGTGCGGCGAGAAGTTAAGATTGCTAATTCTGTCAGGGGCGAGGGGCTGCTGGAAAAGCGCCGGGAGCGGGGCGAGCGGGCCGCGTTTGTGCTGGGAGCCTCCGCCTCCCGCGGCGCCGGCCGCTCCCCACTTCCGGGTCTTGATTTTTTTTTTCCTCCTCCCTGTTTGTTTGCAGGCGCTGCTGGGTGTGAGAGAAGAGAGCTTTCGTGAGGAAAAGGCCGCCTAGGTCGCGGGCGGAGATGTCCGACTACGTGAGCGACCTGTGGCCCGGCTCGCCGCAGGAGTCCCCGGCCGCCTCGGGCTCCGACCGCTCCAGCCGGCCGTCCTCGCGGTCGCGGAGCCGCTCCTCTACGCGGAGCTCCCGCTCCGGGCCCC